CCCAGTTCACGCTGCTGGGAGCAGGGGGGGGAGCCACCTGAGCAGCCTTTTTCTCCCCATCCTCCACACTCAACCAGCGGTGGGCTCTGCGGGACAGGTGGGCTTCTCATTTCTCCCCTGGCACAGTAAACTCCAGCTTCAGTCGGGGCATTCAAGCTGCTGGTGGCAACCAGCTAAGCAGCATGATTGCACCCTCCCCAACCAGCCAGCCAGTCCCGCCTGACCTGCTCTCTGCCTGACCAGCTGGTGCAAAGTCTTGCTGTTCTCCTCCTCCTGGTCGTCTTCCCTGCCCAAATGGCAGTGGGATAGGGTCTCATTCCTGTCCCGCTGCAGCCAACTCTGGCGGGCTGGACACAGCTATGAAGGGCCTGGCCCCACAGTGCTTCCTCACTCAGTTGAAGGCTCCATTCAGCCTTCAAAGAGTAAAGCTGGCCCACATAAGCAAGCAGCGCACCAGGGCCACGTACAGCGTTGGTTCTTGTACCTGTCCAATTCAAATTCCACAGCCGTCCTTACTGTTTGAAGGCTGAACGAAGGCTTCAACTGAGCAAGAAAGCACTGCAGAGCCAGGCTCTTCACACCCATGTCCAGTCTGCCAGAGTTTGCTGCAGGAATGAGACCCTGTCCCGCTGCCACTTGGGAGGGGAGGACGAGAACGAGGAGGAGAAGAATGATGGTCCCTTGGGTAACATCTCAAATAATAGAAATTAATCATTATCTACATCAGGGGTGTCAAACTCAAGGCCCTTGGATCATCCTGGAAACTGTAAGGATCCAGCCAGCGTCATTTTGGCCCGGCCCACGCCATCCCGGCATGTGTGTGCTCGCACAAGCCCAGTGCTCCATTGTCACGTGCAGAGCAACTTAAGTAGTCTGTGGGACTATGGTATAAAAAATAGTTCAGACCTTCCAACTTCTCACAGACACAAAAAAAAGATCTGAACTATTATTTTTTTACTCAGACTACTTTAGTTGCTCTGCACGTGGCAGCAGCAAAAGGAGCTTGAAAAATTAGTAAAGGGAAGTGGCTGCCCTGGGTGGCAGGGGTGAGGGTTTGGCCTGGCTGAAGGGCCCTCAAGTAAGGCAAGGTGGGTTGGGCAGCTCTGCACCCTGATTGCTTCATCCTCCCTCCTTCATCCTCCACCTCGCTTCATTCTTCATCACTTTTTCTTGCTCTCTGTTGTAACCTAGTAGGAGGCTGAGCAACTCACTGGTATGACAGCCACAAAGCAAGGCGCAGGAGAATGCAGAGCTGCCACCCCATGCCCCGCACCGGCTTACCTGAGCTCCCCACCAGCCAGGCGCTGAAGTATTTATTTATTTATTTATATTTATTTATTTATTTTATTTGTTAAATTTCTAGGCCGCCCAATCCCGGAGGACTCCGGGCGGCTTACAAAGAAANGGTAGGAGGAGAACCACTGCAAAACAGTGCCTCCCACCCCCACCTCCCGCAGTCGTCGCAGAAGGATACCATGATCCTGCATGATAGTCAAATGAATGACTATCATTCCTGACTTCAGGAAGGGTGCCTCAAATCTAGAAACTTGAACAGACTGGCCCCTGAAGGCCACAAAAGATTTCTGAATGACAACTGATACACTCACTCTTCTGCCCTGAGACTGATGCCAAATCCTAAAACCAGCTGGAAACCTCTCTGAGAGGGGAACATCCCCTCTGGTTTCAAACAAGTCTAGATGGTACATGCCACATCATTTTGTTCCTCTCCCAAAAAAGTCACAAATGAGAGGTGCCTTATTGTTGACTGACTTGGCATTCATCAGTAGCAGCCAAAGGCCTGAGACTTTGAGGCTCTGTTGTCCAGGGTCTGGGTATGAGTTTGGAGGCCATTACACAGGCATCTTCCCCTGTAATGGCCCGCCCTTTTGTTCTCCTTTCTACCTCTGTCACCACTTGAATTAGTTTCCCCCCACCTGGTGAGATGGATTTCAACTCCAGTCCTGACCTTCCTCCCTTCTGCACCAGTGTACCTGCCACTCTAACAATTATACCAACTCACATCAACCATTCAATGGATAATGGGACGAGGAATACTCCGCAACCCTTTAGTTGTGGTTCTCAGCACCTACTGGAGTCCATAATCTCCACAACCCTCATAATCTCTCAAGATATCCCCTCCCCATTAGCTTGTCTATCCCACTTGCCAGCCATGGACGGGAACATATTCTCACTCCCATCGTGCATGCCTGAGCAAGAAGGAGGCAAATATACATTTATTTATTATTTTTATTATATTTAATTATATAATTATATTTATAATCATATTAATGACTATTGTCTAAAAACATCACTGGCTAAGTCAGTATGACAAATTAGATATTTTGATATAGAAATACCTTTGGAACCATAGACAGACAATTCAAATAATGAAAAAGCATTGGTTTTTAATGTAAAGTGAAATAAATAAAAAATAGAAAGTACAAAGCGAAGATTTGTTTTATCGTGACAACATTAGTATAACTGGAGTTCAAATAGGACAAGAGCCATATAATATAAAAAAAGTTATTTGTTTAAGTTCAAATTTTATATTATACTCAATATTACTTCAATTACAAAGAATTACATTAGCTTTGAAATGATGTTTCCATGAGTTGACAATGAAAAGTTAACTTTTTAACAAAGCATTTAGAAAAAGATGTGTACACGTGTTGCTAGACTCCATATTAGGAACACATGATTTATTCAACGTGACGTGATGAACCAGGGCCTTGAAGCCGTTAGGGACTGGATGAGGGTTAACAAGCTTGTGCTCAACCCAGATAAGACCGAGTGGCTGTTGTGCTTCCCTCCCACTAATTTGGCAAGTGTTCCNTTCTCACTTGTTGTACTTAATAAAGAGCTGTTGTTACCGTTAAGCCTCTGTGTGCCTATCCATTACCCAATCTAACAGCTTTTTTTGCATGATCTTTATGTTATGGTATGGA